GAGGGAGAGAGAGAGAGAGGGAGAGAGAGAGAGAGAGAGAGAGGGAGGGAGAGAGAGAGAATGAGAGAGAGAGCACTCGCATGCACAAGAGAGAGCATTTGACTTTGCCGAATCTCCCTTGTGGGTATTGAAGGTTTGGTTTCTGAGGTTCCATGCCGTCTGCGTGCCCCAGAAAGCAGAACCACCATGGGAACAGCCGGGACTCCGTGGTTTAATGAAGTTACACTCGGCAGGAATGCCTCGAGGCGGGAATCGGGAAGCCCAGGCAGACTCCGCCGCGGTCGGCGCGGGGATGTCTGCACCATCTCCGCAGGACAGGCGAGGAAACTGCATCTCAGCAGAGAAACAGGAAACCTCTGTGCTGGGGCCGCGTGCACCCAAAGCCTTTTATCTGGGTGGCAACGCTTTCTGCTTGAAAATTAACCAGCAGTCTCTCGCATTCCTTCATTAAAGCAGCAATTGCCACAACCCCTTAACAATAGCTTTACTGCTTTACTGACATTTTGAAAGTAATATAGGATCATTTTACTCCCCAAATATAGAAATGCTTTACGAGGAAAAGAAAGATACCTATAATGCTGCCTTCCAGGGGGAAAAAAAAAATCACAGCATTTTGCTGTTCATTTTTTTTCCAAAATATTTTTTCTCTGTGTGCAGATAAATTTACATAATTTCTAATAATTATGTAACTTTAAAAAACCAAAAATGGAATTATAGATACATAGCTCTATAGCTTCACTTTTTCTCTTTCTTGTCAATGAAAATCAATGCACAGCAACATTGCGAGAGCTGATAATATACCATTGCATGGACGTATCCTAATTATTTAACACAGTCCCCTTGATAGACAGATTTGTTCCTATGTTTTCACTGTTATAGCAGCAGAGGCGACATAGCATGAAGATGGAGAGTGCAGGCCTCTGAGTCAGACTGACTAGGCTTGGATCCTTAGGGCCACTTACTAGCTTTGTGACCTCTCTGGACCTCCGCTTTCTCATCAATAAAATGGGAATAACCATAATACCTCCTGTTATAATAGGGTTTTTGTGAGGATTCAATGAGTCAACATATGTTATGTTTTTAGAACAGTTGCTGGCACATAGTGAATTGCTGATAAGTATTAGCTGTTATTATGAGTAATATTGAGCTGAACACTCCTCTATCTACATCTGTGGGAACTTATCCTATTATTTCCTTAGGATTCACTTCTAGAAGTGGACACTCTGGACTAGGCATATGTTAAGCTTCTTCACTTGTTGCCCAAATGCCATCCAGAAATGTACCAACTGAGTGGGAATGAAGATGAGAGACTGAAGGAGAACTTTCAGTTTTTACTCTGTATATTTCTGTATTAATTGAAATTTTATAAGAATGTTTCATGCATTATTTGTATATATACTTTTTAAAAAATCCTCACCCCCCCCCCCAAAAAAAAATAAAAAAATAAAAAATCCTCACCTGAGGATATTTTTCCATTGCTTTTTAGAGAGAGTGGAGGAGGGGGGGGGAAACATCGATGTGAGAGAGACACATCTACTGGTTGCCTGACCAGGGCCAGAGATCAAACCTGCAACCCAGGTACCTGCCCTTGACTGGGAATTTAACCCCCAACCCTTCAGTACTTGGGCAGACACTCTAACCACTGGCCAACACCGGCCAGGGCTGGATATATACTTTTAAATAGCCCATTTGCTCTCTTACCGACATATCTATAAAAGAACACATAGCCCCTCATTTTCATCAACACTGGACATCGTTAATCTTTTAAATCTTTGCCAGTATGATGGGTGACAATGATATTTCATTATTTGTATTTCATTGATTCCCAGTAATTTTGCTCAATTTTTGATATTTTTTGGGGGAGGAAATATTTATTTGGTATATATTATAAAACTTAAACATGTTTATACCATTTGAGTTAATAATTCTACATCTAAGAAGTAAAATCAAGAAAATATGCTATAACCACAGGTTTATGTCAAAAATGATCATCCCAGTATTATAATTTATAAGAGTAGAGATTGGTGAAATAAATTATAAAGTGTGTATCATCTATGAGAGACTATATTATGCAGCTAGTATTTTACAATCATGTTTAAGAAGAGCTTATAGAATATTTATAATAAGTAGGGGAGATAAATTACATAATAAAATACAAAGAAAAAAGGTGATAAAGAAATACATTAAAACATAAGCAATAGTTTCTTATGAGTGATGGAACCATAGATAATTTTGTTTCTCTACTTCTTTCTTCTGTATTTTTTATATTTTCGATGGGTATATTTTTACTTTTCTAATTTAAAAAAGGCCACCTTTGCCTTTGGTAATTAAAAACTTGTATTTGTGGGGGAGGCTGTGCACGTGTAGCGGCAAGGGCTATATGGAAATTTCTGTACATTCTGCTCAATTTTGCAGGGAACCTAAAACTGCTCTAAAAAATAATTATTACACAAACAAAGCTTGCATTTTCTGTCATTGACTCTTTTCCAAAAATATGTTGCTGGGCACCGGACATAAAAAGCCCCACCGGAGAAACAAATTTTGCTACAAACATGAGCACAGAACACAGGGCTCATGAGATATCTGCAAAGTTATATAGGATCTTAGAGCTAGAAAGTGTAACATGAGGGTGAGGGTGAATTTTAAATAACAGACATAAGAAAGAAGCTGTGTGTCATCTCCTTTCAGCTGAAGCATTGGAAGTCATGGGCGCGCGCTGAAAACACAGGCAGGGTCTGCGACATTGAGTGCCCAGATCACCNATTGGAAGTCATGGGCGCGCGGTGAAAACACAGGCAGGGTCTGCGACATTGAGTGCCCAGATCACCGCCCAACACGCCCTTCTCCCTGTGAGTTTGCACCCCTCCATGGGGTCGCCCCGACAGATCTCCCAGAGCTCTGCTCAAAGGGGTAAGAGGGAGGGGTCCTCATGGCCCGGCTGAGATCAGCAGCTCCCCTTCGGTGGTGTGTCTGCATTTAGAGAACAGCAAATGCCTCCGACACACCTCAGCAGGGCCACCAGGGAACCAACGAATAAAGTAGGTGGGCTACGGGGAGTCTTTCGGTAAAAGGCACAAGTGAAGCCCAGGGGGTGCTCACCCTTTCTCAGCACTGTCACTGATGCTCAATCCAGATTTACTTTAGCTGCCAATCTAAGACTTGTTCAGGGTGGCACATCTCCAGGTCAGAAAGCATTCTGATGCTTTACTAACGTGTTTTCATATACAGCCTCATCTCTGTTTCATTCTCTAAGATGGGGCAATTGGGGGCCCTGCATCACCTCCATGTGGACCGTCCATCTCTGGTCCAGCCTCGAGCAGCTCTTCCTGCCCTGTGCACTGATGGTGGAAATGGGGAGAGGAGGTCAGACTGATGGCCCAGGCCACCCAGCCCTGTCCATCGACAGACTGACATACAGTCAAAACAGAAGCCCTTATGGCCGGCGTCCCTGGTGCCCATGAACTACTGAGTGATCTGCCTACTGGGTATTGGGCCTGGATAGGACTCGCTAGCTCTACGTGACCTTACACAAGATAACTTTGCCTCTTTGCCCCTCCGTTTCTTCCTCTGTAAAATGGGGTTGATAGCAGTGCCATCCCCTAGGGTTGTAGTGAGGATCACACGTAATAACACATGCCCAGTGCCTGCACTCTCTGGCCCTGATAATAGTAACTCCTTAAATTACAGTTTCCTTTCCCCCTAGGGCTGGGCTGGGAGGCCCCACAGCCACGGACTGTTAGCGCTGGAAGGGGCTTAGGGATCACCTGGTACTGTGAGAGGCTTCCAGACTTTTAGATTTCAACCATTAATAAAATATAATAAAATAATTGGGACCAGCTTTAGAACGGCTAATATTTTATTTGCAGGTAAGGGCACAAAAAAACAAGCATACAAGAGACTACAATCAACTATCATTTTTATTTTATAAAAGAAAATAATCTTAACCACCCTGTTTAAAAAAGAAAAAGAACCGAGGAAGAAGGGCATACTATCCAAATAAATTTAGCTTTGTAAAAACTCCATACATTGTCTACTGTGAAAACCAATGAACATATCACAGGCCAATGCTGGGGAACCTCGGATCCTCATGCCTTGAACTTGCTTTATGGATGCGGCAAACAAAGCCCAGAGAGATGGAAGTGACATGCCAAAGGTCACACACAGTGGCTGCGATGTCTTATCACTATCTAGGAAAACATCCCTGGGCGTAAGAGATCCTTCCATGTGGCTGTGAGGTAAGACAGGTGCCCTGGGCTGTGAGTTAAGAGGTCTGAGCTCTTCCAGCCATTTGCCCTCGAGCCTCTGCCTTTTCCATTTTTCTGAAATAGGGATGATAATCGCCCCCCACTCAAGACAGGTGTGAGAACCTAATGAAAGAAGAGCTTCAAAAGTGCTCGGGAGAAGCAGACCAGGGTATTTCGGAGTGAGATGTCTCTGTGGCTGCAATTTACTTGGAAATATTTCAGCCAACAAAAATAGATGGAGCAAATATGGCAACATATTAACAATTGCTAAATCTAGGTGATGGGTATGTAGACACAGTCTCCCCACTCTTCTGCATATTTAAACATTTTAATAATAAACATTTCGTCAGTTTTAAAAAGTGCTCTGGCAAGGTAAATGGAAGGGATGGTGTTACTCACAGAGAGGATGCTTTCAGGGAGGTCCGAGTCCTGGACTCTGCAGCCAGGTGGGGCCCACCACCCCAGGAGATGGAGCAGGGCACTTTTCACCAGCCTTGGGCACACAGAGCCATGGTCAGGAAGTGATTTGGTTTCCCTGCTTCCTCCTCAACAGGCCTGGTGCCTGTGGCTGGGTGAGGGAAGCCTTCTGCCCCTTCTCGGTGCAAGGCACCATCTGATAGACACAGCCCTGCTGCAGCCATGAGCACTGGGGACAGTGGGGGCTGCCAGGCACAGCCAACCAGTGTGGGGGGCTTATGAATATGCAGATAGAGGCCAGAGCTGGTTGGCTGCCCCCCTGCCATGTCCCACCCCCACCCCAACTCATGCTCAGAAAAGTCAGCTAAGAGAGGACCTTGCTGAAATGCCATCTCTTCTGTCCTTGTCTAAAGACCCACAGAGCCCCTTTGAAAATCTGGGGACTGAATTACTCAGTGTCTTGCATTGCACTGGCCTCCAGCAGGGAGCTCTTGACTGCTGCTTCCAAATCCCCCAGAGAGGTAAGGGAAAAGAATGCTGTGTGTATTATGTAAGGTGAGCTGCCACTCTGGTGTTTTTCACTAACTGAGCCATTTACCCTTCCTAGAAACAAAATTTTTTTCTTATATAACTTGAAAGCACATGCATCTTTCCTCAATTTAAAAAAAAATAGGCAAAACCGAGTATAGCTTAGGACACGTGCATATTGAAACTACAATGAAAGCATGGAGGTGGTTAATACATAATTCAGTGTAGCAGTGCTTAACTTTGGGAGGGTCAGCAAGGAGGGTCCCACAGGGCTTTTCCATTCCTTAAGTTGGGTGGTGAGTGTGGGTATTACTTTTATTATTTTTCTTTAAACCATACTCATGTATTTATACACCATTCTGAATATATATTTTTACAAAAAATTTTTTTAAAATTCTCTTTTGAACCTGGCCACAACTTATATTCATAAACTCCTGACCCAACAAATGATGCTGTGTCCTGGGAGGCTCTAAATACAGAAGAGTGTGGAAGTCTATTGGGTTACACCTTGGACTCCACAGAAGCTCATATGGAAATCTCAAGAAAATCAATTCAACCTTTATTCTTTGAGAGAGACTTTGCATGCTACTGTGCATATGTGTGTGTGTGGAGTCTACTACTGTAACATCTAAGGTTAACCTGGGCGATCACTGAAATTCTAGGATAAATGCTTTGCCACATGATTCAGGTGTGTGCTTATAAACCTTAGATAAGAATTAAGGTTAGATAATAATTAACCTTAGATAATAATTTCAAAAATTAATTATTTAAAACTAAAAAAATTAAGTAGCCATCTAAAAAATGTTAACAGCAACCCCTGTAAGGGATTGTCAAGAGTCCTAATTACAGTTGTTGGATTCTTTAGCTGCATCCAGCCATATTGTAAGTGTGGCAGTATTTAGTCATTCCTCTTGTGTTGATTAAGTACCTACAGAACACCAGGCACTATGTTCTGTGCAGAGGATCCAGGAAGATACAGCGATACCTTGGAGATGTTTCGGGTTCAGTTCCAGACCACTGCAGTAAAGTGAGTATTGCAATAAAGTGAATTGTAATCTTTTTGCTGATGGAGGATCTTGTCTTCAATTTGTAAAAAATGCAACCTCTGTAAACTACAATAAAGTGAAGGGCAATAAAGTGAGGTTTGCCTGTAGAGAGTCATCTCTTTCCTCCAGCTACTCTGCCCAGTAGCAGAGACAGACAGGTAAACAGGACATTACAAGGCAACGTAATACAGACACAATGTTTTGTAAGCATAGAAAAGTTATCTGTGAACTCTGCCCAAAGGGATTAGGAAGGGATTCAGAAGTTTAGGGTTTAGGGGATGATCAGGAGTCCCTAGGTAAATAAGAGCTGGGAACAACCCACATAAACGCTGGAAGGAGTGAGAACCACTTTGGGGCTACGCCAGGAGCTGTGGGTAGGACTAACGCTCAGCACCTGAGAGAAGGATCCCAGTGTAGGCAGAGGTCAGGTGCCTGGTCAAGCTGAGGAGTTTGGACTTTATCCTGCCAATGGGGAGAAGCAATTGAAAGGCTTTAAGCAAAGGAGTGGCAGGATTAGCTGTGCATTTCAGAAGGATCTTTGACACAGGTGTGAAGGACAGAGAAAGTGAGTGGAGGCCCAGGACAGATTAGGAAACTTTAAAAATAACCCAGATGAGGCGAGGGCTGGGTGGAGAGGGACAAAGACAGGGCCAACGGGGGACATCTGTAACACTGTCAACAATACAGGAAATAATAACCCAGGTGAAGGATGCTGAGGACTCCATCGGGGGCAGCAGCAGGGCCAGGGTGTGCTCCCTGCTGCTCTTTAGGGCTTCTTCCCATCCCTCCAGAGTTCCAGTGGAAGTGCTTTCAGAGTTTGGGTGAGTCAAGGCACCATTAAGGTCCTGAGGACCAGGAAAGATGATTCACCTAAAGAAACCAACAGGACCAGTAACCAAGTAGCTCACTCATTCATTCATTCTCTTAAAAAAAAATTTTTTTTTTAATCCTCTCTGGAGAGTATTTTCTCCATTGCTTTTCAGAGGCAGTAAAAAGGGTGGGGGAGGGAGAGAGAGAGAAACATCGATGTGAGAGAGAGACACACCCGTTGGTTGCCTCCTGCACCTGCGGGCCTGGGCTGGATGGAGCCCGCAGCCAGGTGCGTGCCCTTGGCCTGCAGCCAACCCCGCGCCCTCAGTGCGCACGCGCGGGCTCATTCAGTCATTCTTAATTCAGCCAGAAGCTTATTAAAAAAAACCCTTCTCTATTAGGAAGGTGAGCGAGGAAACTAAAGAAGAATGGTCTGCCCAACGCTGGGAGGCCCAAATTCAGCCCGCAAGTATTTATTGTGCACCCAGCCTGTGCCCATCCCTAGGCGCCGGGGGTACAGCATTGAGCAAGACAAGGCCCCTGGTCTCATGGAGTTTATCTTCTAGGGGTAGAGGGACCAACGGACAGCCTCCCCAACGCTCAGGATGCCTGAGGAGCGATTAGCGTGGCTGGAGGGGGTTCGCGGGGCGAGTAGGGGAGATCAGATGCTGCAGAAGCGAGGCTGCTGGTGAAGATCTCGGCAAAGGGCCACGGAGCCCGTCCGCGGTCCTCTGGGGGTTCTGCCTCTGGGTCCCGGGGCCAGGGAGGCAGGGGAGTGACGACTGCTTTTTAAATTACGTGTGAGGAACCCGAGGCTCAGGGAGGCAGTGTCACTGCCCAAGGCCAAACGAGTGTAAGATCAGACAGGCAAGTCGCCAAGGCCCGGCTCCAAAGTCCGCGCCCGCCTCCCGCTCGCCGGGAACGCGGAGGGGCGGGGCGTGGTGCCCGGGT